ACAGGGATCTCAATCCAATAGAGGACCTTTGGGATGTGGTGGACCATGAGATTTTCATCATGGATATGTGTAACTGTGTGATGCCATCAAGTCAATATGAACCAACATCTCTCAGCACGGATTCCAGGACGCTATTAGTGCCATGAAAAATTAAAGGGGGTTAAAGCAGTTACAGTATAGCAAGGTGTGCTTAATAAATTGGAATGTGAGTGTAGGTGGTTCAGGTTTAGTATAATAATTCCATATTTCTACATAGTTTCAATTTTCATAGTATTTGGTACGATTACATTTGATTCAGTTTTATGTATACATCTCCAGTTCACTACAACAGTTGACTAAAGTGAGTTTATACTGGAGGATAAAGACAACAGGCACTTGGTGACTGTGGAGAGGAAAAACTCCATTTTAACAGGAAGAAATCAGCAGTATCAGGCTCAGGGAGGGGCAGCCACCTGCTGCAACTGGTTGAGGAAAATATTTGAAAGGGACAAAGTCTATGTCCCAGTCAGTTACATTACCGTATGAGGTAAGTGTTTATCACCCCAGGTAAAGTTAGTAAATTTAAGCTTGGGCTTCCAAAGGACTTGAAAGAATTCATCCAAGAATTTCCATTAGATGAACAGAAGAGGAACAGAAGATACTGAATCTGGTTGTTGACTGTTAGTCTCAGTAATAACTCACAAAGAATGAAAATCAATACTGATAAAATGCAAACAAGACTTTCAAGTTAGCTCTCAGAACTGTGCTTTTCTAGTTCGTACAGTCACCACAGGTATGTAAAGGTCCAGGGTTTGAATCCCACAGTTTCCACCAGAATAATGATTCATGCGTGTGATATTTTACAAAGTGCTCGTTGACATTTGCGTGTCATCTGCTCGGACTGGCAAAGGTCAAAAGCTGAGTTGGTCCTCAGAGTATGCAAACTGAAACCTCTTGGTTTCAAAGTGTACTGGAGCTGCTGTAGAAGCAACAGGTTCTGACTGTGGCCAGCTAGCCACAAATAGGCCATGTGTGTCATTTTCACAACTAGTGAAGAAAGAGTTAAAATGTAGTCATGGTGAGATTCAGTTAGTTACTTTGTCGGGTTTTCTTCATACAAAGCAACAAAAAAAAATGTTTGCTTTATATTCTTTCTACATCTCATCAGCTGTATATGTCTCATAATATTGATTTATTTTTATAACTACTCATTGTTATGTACACCTCTGTCTCCTGAAATATTTACCATCCAGTTACTGAGCTGACTATCGTTCTTTTTAACCTGCTCTCTCCTCGCTGACTCACGCCTTGTGCTGATTGGTTGCAGGAAATCATGTTCATGCTGGTTGGCTCACCTCCATCAGCTCCTGCATTAGTCCTCACTTGGTCTTTGCTGTCTTGTTTATCACTTTTGAGGTGAGCTCGGACTTACCAGTAGTACTATTTTCATTGATGGTTGTCAGTAATATTAGTTGGGGTCAGTGATGGGAATAACAAACAAATCGTGGCAGGATCAGCCTAATGTTATTTGTATCCCGCTGTAACTTTACTGTATAAAGAGCTAACATCTCCAAAATGTCAGGAGTAGTTAGTCATTACAACAAGTGTTTGTGAACTAAAAATCAAGAATGTGGGATACTGTTTGTCTGTGATTTGAAGAGCCCAGTGCTGCTCCCGACGAAGGGAAACCAATTCTGCAGCGGAGACCTACCTTGGCACTTGTGCAGGTGAAGCCAAAGGGAAGATATGCTTCACCATATTTTCTAGTCTTTGGCTTAGAATGAAGTTGGTTTGGAAACATATTCAGCTATGCTTCATCTCCTGCTTTGCGTTTGTGTTGGAGCCCCGTCAAAACACCTGTCCATTATGCTAGCAGTGTCCAAGCACTGTTTTTGTTTTTTTTTCCTTTTCATACCGCGGCCCCCTCCTGCAATGGTTCTGCGCGCCCTCCAGGGGGCGGGCCCCACACTTTGGGAAGGTCTAGTCTAGCACAACACCTGGAGCTAAGGGGGCAAAACAATCGCATGAGTGTTGCTGTATGACTGACAAAGAATAAAGTAGTTGTGGTAAGCCAATCACATGACCACTTAAAGACAAAGCAAGGTGACATATCCCATTTTTTAAATTGTGTTGATAGGCCACGTAAAACCAGTCATGATAAACAATATATACACTGTGTTTTTTCCTCAATAGTTTCGTCACGTTTACTGTCTAAGGACAGTGCTAGCAAGCACTCTGTGCTTATGAGCAAAAAAAACAAAAAAAAAAAGACTGGGGAAGTCTTAGGAGTGACGGCGAGAGAGAGAGAGAGAGAGAGAGAGAGAGAGAGAGAGGAGTGGCACAAATAATTTGTGTGGCATCTTATTGAATGAAGAACAGCTGATTGTTCTGTAAATAGTTTGAAATGGTTATTTAAAAAATCAAGGTAAAAGGTAAATGGGGGGTAGGTGGGAATAGATGGGAAGAACAGCACCAGCAACAGCAATTGGTAACCAACATTAACTCATGAACGCATTAACACCTCATGAAGCCTTGACTTCAAACTCTCTGTTGTGATGTTTTGATCTATTGCCCCAGAATGAAAAACTGCCATGGAAGGAGAGCGGGGAGTTTTGGGGGTTTTAGTGAATGAACTGAAGCTTCTTTCCTCTGACAGGGGCAACATCAATGTTAGAAGTCAAAAATTAAATCAATTAAATAAAAAACAAGTCACTTCTTTAATAAATATCTTATTATTTTTGTCAATTGTGTTAAAAAGGCGGCTGGGCAGTGTTTCAGGCTAAGGATATTACTTCCTTATATCAATGACACAGTATTGTTGTTAAGAATATTTTTAAGATTTCAAATGTTGCTGAAAATGAAAGCGAGCTGACATGATGTACCGTTTTTAATCTTTCAGTTTCCTCCTCAAATACCCAGTCATGACTGCATCTGTTTCCTGGGGGCAGTTGTGGCTCAGGAAGAGGTTTAGTGGGTTGTTTATCAAATTACATGGCATGCATGGTAACGTATCCTTGCAGTGCGTGTGTGTTAAGACAAGGTGTTTTGGTTTAGAAGTCACTAAATGGGCATAATTGGGTGAATGTACTGAAAGCACTTTGAGTGTGCAGTTAGTTAGAGAGGAAAAGCAGCAGTCCATTTACAATATGATTACATTATACTGTGAGACACTGTGTCTGTACATTTCTTTTTTGTTTTCTTTTTTTTTGCCTGTTTTGTTCAGTACTTTAGCAATCAGAATTATTGTCTGCCAAAAAAGATGCCCAGCAGATTTGTTTTTCCAAGTGGGTCATTATGGCTTTAGATTGGTATATTGGTCCATTTGATTGATCTTTATTATTGTTTTTATTATTATTATTAATAATAATTTATTTATTTATTTATTTTAAGTTATTAGAGACTGGACAGACATGAATGGGGGATAGGAAAGGGAAAGAAAGAAAAATAGGGGGGAAGAGGGTCAGTGAGAGAAGACACTAAAAAATAATCCTCCGGATCACCTGTTGGAACAAAAAAGAAAACAAGCAAAAAGAGAACAACACAGCAGGGAGACCACAGCAACAACCAAGGTAAGTAGAGTAACAGTAAATAATAAATATTGAATGTTGCTGAACAGCACACAAGACCGACGGTACACAGTATGCTTTGAGGCAGCAGCCAAGGAAGATATAGTGTTTTTCTGTGAGCACCCGTGTGTACACCTGCTGTCACAACCTCAAAAGGTTTCTCCATGCAACTATCTGCTAGAGGGTGTGGGGAGTCATAGCCCTGCCCCCCAGGGCATGAAGCAGGTATGGTGGAGATCCAGGCCCCAGACATCCAGAGGCCCCCTAGAGTGCGAGAGTCCAAGCAGAGATACGTGGGGGGTGGCCCTGCCGAGGGTGCCCCGACCCCCGGAAGGGGCCCGACCAAGCCACGGGCGCCAGGATCCACCAACACATCGATGGACGAGGGCATCAGCCACCGCCAGGGAGTGTGGTGAGGGGAGATATAGGCCCTCACACCGGGGGGTGGGGGCTGAGATGTTCCCAGAGAGGTGGAGTCCAAGACCCGACCTGACATGTTTAAACCATGTTTAACACAGCGGCTCAAATTTCATCTGAAATGACTGATCTTGATCTTGCTCTGCCTCTTATATTGTTGCCATCCTTTATCAGTGTCATCTTTGCAACATCAGTGATGTCTGTGCTGTAGTTTTGTGTAACTTCTCCCTCGTGTGGTTAACATTAGACATCACACGAGAATCACTGTGCGAAATCTGACAAGACACGCAAGTTGAAAACTATTGTAAGCCACAAAAAGCTTGAGACATTCAATAATCTGGATCAAAACATTGAGACTGTGGTTAAAAAAATGGGACAAAAGCTGCAAATTTAAAGCATCTAATGCACCAAAAGCTGGATTTCAAACACTTTAGGCAATCGTTTCCCTTTCTGGAGTTTGTGTAAGCATTTTTTTAAATGCTATATGGTGTGTCGTGGCTTTAAACCAGTGAAAATTAACACTAAAGAGGTCCTGCCGATGTGTTTCTGAGGTGAGAGGCCAAAACTGAGCTAGCATCCTGTGCCTGTGGTCGATGACTCAGTTCCTGAGAGCGAGGGAAACATGAGAGGGTGGAGATACATGCAGATCATATAGAGAATATGAGAGCGAGAACAGTGGGTTGAGATGTTGAGAAATAAGGGGGAGGGGGGGGGGTAGACTGCAGCAGGTGGAGAAAAAGAGAAGTAGACACAAAAAGAGTGAAGAAGAACAGCATGTAAGCATGCATCTGATATGATGCTCTCCTTTTTTCAGTGTTTTCACCTGATTATTATTATTACAGAGATTATAATCCCAACCTGCAACTCAAGGACCAGCGACTAACCCAAAACTGATGCCGGGTCATAGGTTGTAACCCACAGTCCAGGTTCAGCTTCATCCTAAAGTTGTTGGATGAAGGTACAAAACTTTAAGATTCTTCGAAATAAAGGGCCACATCAATCAACCGCCCTGTTTTCAGCATGCTTTAGCTTGTGTAGCGTGCATTAACAGAACAAGCATAGAGCACTAAGCACAAATGAAACAGGCACTGAGTGACAAGAGACACAGTGAGGGCGGGAGGAGAGCGTGAGAGAGAGGAAGAGAGAGAGAAAGCGGCAAGCAGAAAGCTCATAGCTAAGGAGCGAGAGCAGCATCAGAAGAAGAGGATCGCTTTAAAAAGGACAAAATAAGGAAAAAACAAAAAAGGAAACTCACCAGTCCTGCTGATGGTCATACGTCAACTTTAAGTGGCTAAAATCTCAGTGAGTAGGAGAGAGAGAGAAAAGTAAATTCATCACCACCATGAAGCTGTGGAGCCGTGTCTGCTTCCTCGGTGAGTTTAACTCAACTGTCACGCAGCTTTCATCTCTGATTTCACGCTCTATTATCTCGCTAGAGGAAGTTTGAATTTGTGGTAAGTTAAAAATAAAATTAAAAGGGAACAGAAAAGCTTGCGATCGGGGTCCTTGTGCGCGCTCAAAAACTCAGAAGCTTTCAAGGGCAACGTTCAGATTGTTTTTAGGGTCAGACGCTGCAGGAGGCTCGAGTTTTTGCTCCACATCAAACCTTTCTTTGACCAACACAAGGAAAGCCTTGATTTGCTCTTAAATCTGCACTTGCATGCATTTAATTACATTTCAGCGTCATTCAGGGACTCGAGAAGCATGACATATCCAGGAAGTAATCTGGGAGCACACGAATCTCGCCATATGCACGCCCTTCTTTGAATCTGCTTTTTGTGCAAATCAATGCAAATATTAACAGATTAGCAGAATGTATTAATTCAACATGAGGCTTTTCTCTTTAGCTATAATTATTTGAATTATTTGTCTTGCTACAAATTTAAATTTGTCAACCACAAAAAACGTGAATGCCCCTGTAAACATGAAAGTGTTTTGGTTGCTGTAATTACTATAAATTAGGACCACAGAACATGTATGCAGTACATATAACAATGTAATATACAGATAAGGTTTGCAGGCTTACAGAGGAACTTTGGTAGAGAGGTCAAAGGTCAGAGTGCAGAGTGACTGAAAGTTTGTAACTGACTGATTGATACGATTTAAAATGATATATCTCCTGTCCTGCTTCTCTCACCATTCTCTGCTCTCATTTTCACACCAGCTGTTCTGTTTTTCACACGTATTTGCAGCAGCAGTTAACAAGCGTGCTTTGTCAAACAAGTGACCGTAAATGAGCATGTTTAGTTGGTTTGTGTATCTCACACCGGCTAGCCACAGAATCTGGATGACATTTACTTGTTAGGGTAAAGTGTAGAATCATGTTGCACACCCACAGTCTGCGTCCTGAGGCAATTTTAGATGTTTTTTATTTAATTTGATCTCTTTCCATGACTAACTGGCTCATTTTTAACCTCATGTTTATCTGTTGCTCATTCTCTCTCTTTGTTTCAGTTCTAGCAGTTTCTCCTATTTGCCTGGGACAAAATGGTGCAAGTCATGTGCAACCCAACGGTATGTTCCACGGGAAATTAGAAAATTATTTAATTAACATAAAACAAGCTGAGAATATCAAGGTTCTTGCATACCACAAGTCCAAATACAGATGGACCTGTGGTATGAAAAGGACAAAAAGCAAGAGTCTGACTTTTTGAAAGCATTTGAATAATTCTCTGATGTCCTTAATATGTTTTGTTTATGCCTGTAAAGTCTATGAACCCTTACATGTAATATTAGGCTGTAGAAATAAAAGTCACTTGATCTGATAACCTGAAAATCTATTTATATTGATTTCCTTTCTGTATAAAGTAGAGAATATTGGAGTATTTTTGCCATTAAAAAAGTAGCAATGCTACAGTATAAATGTCCTCTGTAATAAGAACAACTCATGTATTGTGTAAATCTATTCAGATTTAGACACTAACCATTGAACCTGGTCAGAACTCTGTAGCTTCTTAAACTACCATAAAAATCTGCATTGGTTTATCTTCTGAAGCAGACTGCTGTTTCTCTTGTGTTGTTGCATAACTGTGTCACTCAATTTATTTTTTATATCACTACATTATTTGCAGAGTTGTAATAGTTTATTATTTTACAGTGCTATTTTCAGAGGGGGGGGTTAACTGTGGCCTCAAAGTGATTTTATGCGTCTCTCCTTTATGTCAGGTACAGTTTCTCCTGTCCCCTCAATCGCTGCCACATACGTTTTGAATGGAACTGAAAACGAGATGCAAAATGACACAGACCCTGAGAGTACTACAGCAGAGGAAACAAACAGTATGGTAAGTCAATTATCTCAAAGTTAAATAGCAAATCTTGGTTCTCAAAGTGTAAAAAGACAAAGTCTGGTTTGGGAATTCATTCTTATGAGTTCACATTATTGGCATCCATTCAGTTTGAGACCATAAACTTCAAATAGGCTTTATTTTAAGAAGGGAATAAAAAGTAACATCTACAGCAGTCTGGTTCTTTTTAAAGTGCAAAAAGCCACCTACTCAGGCTTTATGCACAGTTACATGGTGGAGCTATTTCCTGGTGCACAACATGCAGTCACTTCCTGAAGTCTTGTTGTCACTATGAAGCTGCGTAGTTAAAAGCAGAGTAGCTGCACAGACGTAAAGAGAGTTGGAGAACCACAAGCTGTCGTTTACTGCCTTTAATCACAACTCTGATCATCACACAACATAAAGAGCAATGATTCAACTTCTGTTTTCACAAATTCAGTTTAATCTTTGACTTGATTCTCCATCAACAGCTTTACATCCCAAATAGTTATTTTCAGCTACTGATGAAGAAAAATATAACAGTTCAGCAAAGGATGAATAACACTGAGCACGCCAATTTCATATCTTTGTTTAATTCCTTATTAATAATTAATCACAACACCCAAGTCAAGGTAGGATACTCATAGTTGAAATTATTATTTTATTTGCCAAAGCTCATAGTAGTAAGTTAGTATTACTAGGGGTGGGACTTGATTAAAAAAATTAATCTAATTAACTGGAGGCTTTGTAATTAATTAATCTGATTAATTGCATTTAATCACACAAGAAAATTTGCCCCAAAGCGCAAATGTTTTTTTAATCCAAAATGTTTTAGTGGGCGACAGAATCAAATAATAGACATGGACATGAATATTGTGAACTTAAGCACTTTTAATTTCTGGAAAGAAAAAAATAGAAAAAAATAATATCCCTCTCCAAAATTGGGCGGACTTAAAAATAAAGTGCTATTTTAAGTACTTTAAGTAAATTTTCGAAATGGTATTGTCTTTAATTAATAATAATAATACTTGTTTCAACATAAAGTGCAGTTTAAAAAATAAGGCAAAAACATAAAAGGTTATTTGACCAGCTTCACCTTTAAACTCTGAGTAACCTTAGCCAACATTATTTTAACATTAGGCTAAAACAGTGTGATCATCGAACATTTCAGTGCAAGAAAATAGCAAACCCATTGGACTCACTATACCTCCATGCTTATTTACTGTCGGTCTCTTTCAGCCAGTTACTTAGACAAACTAACCTGTTCACATTTTCAAGACAGCTCTCTTTTTGTTACTATGTGAGCTGCAAATGAGAACAGTCTCCCACATGGGACAGAAGTGGCAGCACTAATCAAATACCAGGACAGACAGCTGTGGGTAGGTCCCTGCTCGACTGGACCACCACTGCAGTGGACAGTCTGTCAGGGCCTCAAGGCTGGTCCAAGCCTCTTCTCGCTCTACCCTTGCAAGACATGTGAAGTCCTTAAAGCGTGGGTCAAGCACAATAGCTATCTTGAGCCACTGATGGTTGAGTGTAGCTACACGGTGGGATAGATCCTTTGTGAAGGCAGTCTTAAATTTCACCATGTAGTTTGAGTCATCATCAGAGACCATGTTGTGATGCAGGCGGCAGAAAGCAGGTAAAACCACTGAACATGAGACACATGTCTCACCTCCAAGAAGCTCAGTCACAAACCGGTAGTACACAGTTCAAGAAATTCATTATTTATCCACATAATAACTGTAACTATAGGGCTTTTTGAAGAAACTGTTAAAAATAGTATTATTTACCTGCATGGCTCAAGGACAGTCGGCAGCTTTAGGAGTTTTACCAGCTGGGATGGAGTTAAAATGAAAAGCTTGTGCTTTTGTTTGTCTTAAGCAGCAAAAACAGCCGCTTGATTCTTTATTAGACGAGAAACCATACCCAGCGTTGAATTCCACAGTGTGGAAACATCCTGTATGAGTGGCTCTTTCTGTTGCCCCAGTCTTGTTTGTTCCTGGTGTAGTTCCTCCATATTAGCAGGGCTGTCTGTAATGCATCTAATTTTGCTCATTTATTAATGTCAAAAAGCTGTTGAATTTTACTTAAAATAGTCTTTCGCCATGGCAGTTAGAAAGTTGGATCACCTGACGCTAACTGTAGCACATTTTCTTCTACATCTTCTACCACTGATAGTGGTCTACAGTCCAGAGCAATCCATCCAAAGTTTGTTGACTTACTAATATTGGTCCTGAAGCCTGAAGTTTGGGCTGCCGACACCTTTTGTTGGTACTTGGACTGCTAGCGCTAACAGCTCCCACAGTTTCTGCGCTCGCTGCAACATGTTTTGCATTTAGATGGTACCATAAGGTTGAAGTGCTTCGATGGAATGTAAACTCCGTTTTGCACACTTTGTACAAAACCATGCTTTTACCAAGGCTTCCCTCGAGTAGTCTTTTGAAATGAAATTTGCCTCCAATCAGTCCTAGCAACACAATTGACTATGTGCACGTTAGCATATGCTACTTCCGGTGCGGAAACTCCTGTGGGGAGCTTTGTTTCCGGAGTTTATGGACTCTGATGCTAGTTTAAAGTCATATTGGACTCAACATAATGTCCTTTTTTAAATTTATAGTCTAATTTGAGTAAAATAGATGAGAAAGGAGTGTATGAATTAGGTTGTGGCTTCTGCACGAGTATGCAGTGAGCTCGGTTTCACATCCAGACTCATCCTTCAATGGTGACGTCAAATTTCAAAAAAACAAGATGGCGCCTAGAAAAGTTTTCAACTCAAGCCTTCGAAATAAGACTTCTAAAACCACTGGGTGATACCACGGTGGCTACAGTCACCTTTATTTTTTTATTCACAGTCTATAGACATGGCTTCCCACATCAAAAAATAACTCACTTGAACTACAAAGACTCCTCACAGGAAGCCTTTTGAATCAGAAACTACTGCTGTACAGAGTCAGATGCCTTCATATTCAATGAGTGAAACAGAAATCAGGCAGATTACAGGATGAAATGTTTACAACCAAAGGATGTTTGTTACTCTTCACAGCCTGGAGGCACAGTGGCTACTACTCTAACAAGTACTAATGTACCAACAAAAGAGACTACCAGCATAGTCACACAAGGAGGAGCAGACCGTGGTGGTAAAATGACTCAAACAACTCCAAGTACCAGCTCAGGAACTACAGGTACCGTCACATATTCAGAAAGCACATGCACAAGTTCTGCGCCCCAAGTTGTCTTCCTGTGCACCAAACCACAACACTCGCAGGCTCACACGCTCTGTAGCTGTAAGCAGGCTGCAGACACAACCACTCAAACACTCTCACCCTATTCTAACACACCGTCAAACTGAATATTCAGACACAGTGGCACGTCACCGTATCACATAAAAGGACCACAAAGCAGCACACTTGTACCCCTTTTTTCCTCTTTCTTTTTTAAATTAGGACTTAAATATCAATTCAGGTTAATCATTTGAGCCATATTGTCAAGCAGAAGGAGTAAGTTTCTGCTTGACTTTTGATCTCTTGTATCTAAAATGATATATAGTGCTCAAAACATGTAACATGTAAAACATCTTTATCTATCATTATCTATCATTTTAAAGACAATTAAAACAATAAAGTTAACTAAGATTTAGAATAAGGGTTAGTCACATTATAAATAATCCAAAAGAAGCAACATATCAGCAGAAATATGTTTGGAAATCACAAAGTCAACATGAAATAGAAATAGGTTCATTGCTTTATTTAAACTTGGCCATTAGCTAGATAGTTCTTGTTGTGGATTATAAAAAGTAATTTTAATGTGTAGTAGAGAGAAAAACATATCGTCCTATTGAAAATAGAAATACACTCCAAGTTCAGTTTGAACTTTGTTGGACAGCCTGCAATCGAACCAAAGTTCAGGGTATTTTAATTTGCAGGTTTTAGGGTATTTCCTATAGACAGGACTAAAACAAAGGCAGACCTGGTGAGGGGTAGATATAAAAGTACGTAAGTAGTAGATATAAAAGTATCATTGTAATAAAATTGTAAACAAACAAGTATTAAAAGGGGCCCAGTACTGATCCTTGTGGAACACCTTAATCGATTCTTTGGGATATTAAACTGAAATAATCCTTAAAGTTTTTTTTTTTTGAAAAGCAGCTTCTGAATAGTAATCACATGGATACTAACAGGAGATATGGATAGATGGAAAGGAGTTACTGACTTAAATTGAATCACTATGCTTAAATAGTGCCTGCTAAACAGAAAGTCACTTGTAAATGTTGCAAATTAACTAAAGAAAAATCAAATGCTCATCCTCTTGTAATTTAAATATTCAGACATATGCTACGCTTTTACCTATAAAGTGAATTTGCTTCACTTTTCTATTATAAAAAAACATAAACTGACTTTAGCTGAATTACTGAGCCTGCTGTTTGTTTCTTTTAGCACCCCCTCCAGCTGGCTCGTCTGCAGGTAAGAATCTTTATTATATTATCTATTATGTATTTAAACATCTGTCTGTTTTATTCTGCTATCATTTTCAACTGTCCAAATGGACACTAATGTTGTAGTGAACTTCTTAAAACTACAGTGGCCAGTTGTTTCAGTGGTAATAAATAGGATCTAGAATCTATATTTTAAAAAAACAAAAGAAAAAACAAAACAGTTAAATTTTTTTAGATGTTAACGGATTTTTGGCACATATCAGTGGTTTCCTGTGAGCTGCCTTGGGTTGTGACTGGCAGCACTTACTCAGGATGTGCCTGGTTACCACTACTCAGCCACAGTTCCACCAAAGTTTTGACACGACATGCCACACAGAACACTGGCCAGTGCCAAAAGTAGGCTAGATTTGGCTCAAATATGTATGCTGCCTGGGCGAGACACCTTTTAGTTTTTCTTACTTGGTGGGACTAAAAAAAAATCAACCATAAAAAATGCTAGTGTCCCCCTGTGGTTGCAATGCTGATTACATGATAAGAAATTGACACTGTAATTTCTCTACAATTCTACTTTTGAATATTTAAATAGTTTTTATATTTTTTTAAGTGATGTTCTAAGGAGTTTAACAATGTAAGAATAACAGCATAATATTAATTTTTAGAGCCCATTCCCTTTTTTGGGTGGTCCCAATGTTATTTCCACTTCTTTTAAAACAGCTCTGCTTATCTTTGTCTCTAGGTTATGTTGTCCTGGCGCTTATCATCATAGTGATTATAATTCTGTGTATCATCCTCTACCTCTTGAGGCGAGCCTCCAGGGTAAGAAAAAGAAATGGAAGTAGAAATTGTTTTCTGTGCACTTAGCCTTTGCTTATTATATTACAATTAAAACAGGTACACACACATCATGTTCGCTTATTAGTATCTTGCTTGCATTTTTGTTTGTTTGTGCAGACATATTCATTTGACCTCCAGCGTCCAAATCCTGTTGGTCATCTCAACCAGCCCACTGGCACCTTTGAGCCAGTCTACCTGGATGATCTGGGTGTGTTTCTGTGGAATTACATTTTATATATACATGTCTGCACTTAAGATGATCCTAATGAGTTTGCTTTGGCGTTTGTATGTGTGTCACATCTCAGAGCGACCGGTACCTAAAGATATTGAAGCCACCGATGACCTTTCACCTCCACCGGTCGCTAATGGCACGAGTCTACAGTCGGAGGAAAAGGACTCCACTGGAGAGAACGGTACAAAATGAAACTGTTTTTCAGAAGTACAGATACCTGAAAATTCTACTTAGGTATAGTAACTATGTATTTGTACTTCATGACTTCTTGCCTCTGAGTACTGTGAATGCATTGTCATTTACAAGAAACCACACTGAGAGATTTGAGCTTTGTGACACTGTGTTTTACTCATGATCAGCATCAACACTAAAGTAGGATTTAAACAATGCTCTGTTTGTAATAAGCGGCCCAGAGAGGTCCAAGAATATATGCCTCCACACTACGCCATTATTTCTAAACAGCCTAAACTACAAGGCAAGATATTTTGTCATCAATAAGTTATTTTTTTAGAAGTAAAGTAAAATTATTTGGGTAGGACAGAGACACAGTAAGATTACAAATTACAAATAAGATTGCAAATTACATGTTTCGAAAAAAGTACTGTATGTTGTGGGAAGGGCTTTAAACTACACTAAATAATATCTTTAGCATTGTGGGGATTACCCAAAACTCTGCAGCACTAAAGAAAGTTACACCTTATCTTACAAATCCTGTTTGTCTTCTGTTTGACCTCTCTACTCAGCTCCTGAGGAACAGCCAGAAGCAAACGGTGTGGAGACTTCACCCGCTGAAAACACCACTCCCTCACTGAGTAGCGATGAAGCTGACAAGATATCCAACCCACCGAGCAGTACCAGCCTTTTCTTTGATGCTATTGGGGAGCAGCAGAATGAAAACAACAACAACCCAAGTAATATTTTTCTTTAATAATGCAAATACAAACACAAAGCAGTACGGTCATTTCTCTATTGCATTTTCAGAAATCATGCAGGACTTGCACGAGAAAGTTTACCATGAAGCTCCAAAATATAACTCGCTTCTATGTATGTCTAAAGACAAAACATGAAATATTCACTGAAATTCTTTGTATACATATGGCTCAACTCTTTATGGTAAATGGGCTGTATTTGTATAGCGTTTTACTTTACACTACATCCAGTCATCCACCCATTCACACACTGGTGATGAAGCTACATTGTAGCCACAGCTGCCCTGGGGCGCACTGACAGAGGCGAGGCTGCCGGACACCGGCGCCACCGGGCCCTCTGCCCACCACCAGTAGGCAACGGGTGAAGTGTCTTGCCCAAGGACACAATGACTGAGACTGCCAACTCTTGAGCCACGATTGCCCCTATATTTATTCCAATAAGTGCTGCTAAACAAATTGTTTTATGCGGCAAAGAAAACCTGCCAGTTGTAGTCAACCATGATTACAATTAAAAATTTAATAGGCTTTATCCTTGTCAGACTATTTACCATGACATTCATGCCGATAATGAGTGTATGGAAACGTCCAACCACAGCTGTATATGGGACTCTTACTGTGGTCACTGGTGTAAGGAGTGATGTGAATTATGTCTCACTCATCAATCCCTACCTCCAAATGTGGACTTTTTTCCTGAAATGTTTTTACTTCATGCAAAATTCAAAAGGTAGACCTACAGTAGCAACAGGTCAGTGACCAACTGAAGGTAGAGACCATTTGGCTTTAAATGAAAATGTCTGCATTTTAAAAGTGTTGGCTGCAGAAGTGATCCATCAGTTTTACTCTAAAAGTGAACATTGTCTGTTTCTGTGGCACTTTTTTAATGTTTTACTGCTGCACAGTGATTAGGTGTTTGCAGATAAGTTGGCATTTTCCATTTTGCAATCCGCTGTCTTCTTCAATCCCAATCTTTGTTCTCTCTCACAGCAGTTTGCTCCAGTGACCCATTTGTTGAAATAAACCTGGACGAGCCGGCATGGTGTGATCAGCTCCTCAATTCTTCTGAAGGTTCTTCCTCGGTCTTCCCCTTCTCTCCATTCTCTTTATCCTCCTCTTCCTCTTAGCACTTTGAATGTTATCCTCTTCCATCAACATATAGGCAGAAACTGTCTTTCGTAGCACATGGACATGAGCACAACATGTGTTTTTTTCCCAAAGCTAGTATGGATTGTGAAGTGAACAACCAAGGAATTAACATCAACCTGTAAACATGAAGCTAGCTTTAACTGATTTCTTATTGTGTTTTTATATGTTTTTGTTCAAATTTATTGGTCTCATTTAGTATTTTTTCTAAGACTATATGAAGGACTTTAAACTGATTTTAATTGAATTGTTTGAAACTGAGCAATTTGGGAAGCTCAAAGAGGCAGTCCAAAATTGCATCGAAGAAAAAGAAGGATGGAAGAAATGTTAATCACAACTTTTCCTGCATTTAACTGACTTATTATTATTGTTGCCTAACCACACTGCAAACTTCATACCAAAGGAAGTAAAATAAGCAAGGTAGCTTATTTGTGACATCTAGACTAAGCAATAACGCCTGAACTTTTTTTTTTTTTTCCAAATGTCATCACTTCATGAGCGTATAGATTGGCTGCAGTTCCTCTCAGATCTAACATCCTTTGAAGTAGGCTAAAGTTTTCTCAGAAGAGATGTTTGGTTTTAAGTCAGATTATTTTTGGGGAAATTAATGTGTACAAAGTACTCATATAGGAAACAGTTGATTAACTTTTTGTACAGTTTAATATTGCAATAATAAGTTATGGTTGTAATCCCAAGACGCAAATGGACATACACAAGAATGATGCTTCATTTGGGAACCACATCTCATTACCAATAAACATAAAACTAGCTTTAACGCTTCCTTATGATTTTTTTGTTTGTTTTATACATTATCAGCACATCAAACTTAAATCAAATGAGTTTTTTCCTAAAATGTAGCATTTTTCTACTTCATTTTATTTACTAAAGCATCATAAAACAAGATTAAAGTTAGCTTTAGCAGTGACAACTGTTACTCTCAAATTATCGATGTAGGCTAGTTTCCCCTAAACCTACAGGGAGATTTGTGAAATCTCTGAACTATAAAAATACACTCTGTGTCATAATTGCTGTAAATATTTTTGTACACGATATATTTTTTTTAGTAGAATACTGTGAATTATTCACATTTATTCAAGTTCTATATTTTAATTTTGTGACTCTGGAGGTTTCCATTCTACTAGATGTTTAAATGCTTTCGTTTTTTTTAACCTACATTTATTTTGTCATTTTTTTAATAAACTGGTTTCTTTTCAGAAGCTAACTAAATATACATTTCACCACTGCCATTTTCCTCAAAGTGCTCATTCAAACTGATATATAAATATATAATTTTCTGACTAATGTTAAAAAAAAAAACATTGAGAAGTGTTACTTTGTTTCATGTTAAAAATCAAATTGATTCAAATAAAACTATTTTTTTTTCAGAATTTCACTGTTATCCCTTCTTCATTCTCTTTATTATCCTGATGGTTAAAATGTCTCTCACTTAACTAATTTTTGGGTTTAATTCCATTTGCTGCCTTACTCACACCAAACCTTTTCAGAAAGTCATCTGTATATTCTTTGGTCCATATCAAAACTATAAAACAATTTTGACTACCTGTCTGTGAGTATTTATGCTTCTTCTTGTGGCCATGGCCCTCAGGTCTCAGTGTCTTCAATCACTTTATTAGTGTTAAATAGCTGATGTTTTGTTTTTGTTGATTTTTACACAACACAGAAAGCCTTGATCAAGCCAGTATTGTTTCTTCACAGAGCCAGCACACCATAACAAAAAATACTTTTGTCAAATCCTATAATTAACTTCTTTAATGATCATTTTGCAGGTTGTAAAAAAACAGAAAATACATTTTAAACAAGAAATTGGAATTAAATTATTTGGTATTGATGAGATGTAAAATCATCAAAGAAACTTGGATTTATTACTTGTAATCTGAGAAACTCATCTCTACAGCTATAAATAAGTCTTGTGTCTGCACTTTCTTTCTGAATTATGGCAAACACCACATCAGAGGTGGTGCTGTCAGTGCCATTCCCAACTGTGTTGGGTGTTAAAGTCGATCTCTGAGTTGATCAGCAGCTGCTGTAAAAGACAAAAAAAGAAAGAAAAGAAGAAGACGAAAGAAACAGTTAACATATGTTCATGTCCAGCATGAGCACATTTTGATGTTTGTCTTACATGCATGAAATGTGTTTTAATTATGAAAGCTGATCTTGACTAATAATAAAATTCTCAACAATTAAACTCCATCAAGTGCAGATTAAAAGTCCAGCCAGCGAAAGAGTGAAAATTGAAAAATCTATTAATTCTACTGAATAAACTTACCAGTGATTTTGAGATCACATTTTGCTGAACCTGAGGAGTAGTTAGTAAACACTGCACAAACATAAAGACCCGAGTCATCAGTCCTGAGTCTGGACAGCTGCAGTCTGATTCGTCCTTCTCTGAGGGCGTCTTTGTCACTCTGGACTCGTCCTGAAAACTTTTCATCCCGAGACTCTGACACCTCAAAATAATGAACAAAATTGTACAAGACTACTATTTTTTCTTCAATTTTCTGATAACAGAGGACACTAATCAAAGACATGTCATCTATGATGGTGAACGTCCACTCCAGTGTGATGTTGTGGTTCTCCTCTGCCTGATAGCAGGTCTGTGTCACATTGACTACAAATGATCCTGCTGAGGAGACAGAGAGGGAAAGAGAGGAGCAGACACACTGAGAACTGGAACAAATCTGTTGTTGAGCTTTATTTGGAGTTCATAAAGTGAAGCTGTAAACTAACCAGAGACACATGAGGTGAGGATGATGAGCAGCAGGATCCTGCAGATCATCTTCTCCATGTGAGAGGAGACAGAGGCGAAGAGTCATCAACACATGAGGTCAAAGGTCAGTCAGTACAGCTAGAAGAATGAAAATCTACAGTCTGACTTCATTCACTCGTCACAACATCTGATTCTGTTCATGATGCTGATTATTACACTGACTGACCAAAACTACAAGAACTACAAACACAGCATTGGAAGCAACCAGAAGAAAAATTTGCTCTCAAAATATTTTTTTTTATATTCAGAGTTGCAAAAATATATATCTGACACAAGGTTTTCTATATGTTTCAACATATAGAAAACAGCAACACTGTGAAATCTGTTTTCTGTGATGGTGTTTAAAGGAGTGTTTACCATCAAAATGCTATTTTTGCCCTGTATTTATATATGTATCCCTTTACTAGTCCCTAAGGACCCCAAAGCGCTTTACACATTCAGCCTTCCACTCATTCACACACTGGTGATGGCAGCTACATTGTAGCCACAGCTACCCTGACAGAGGCGAGGCTGCCGGACACTGGCGCCACCAGGCCCTCTGACCACCACCAGTAGGCAGTAGGTGAAGTGTCTTGCCCAAGGACACAACAACCTAGACTGTCCGAGCCGGGACTAGAACCAGCAACCTTCTGGTTAAAAGACAAACTGCCACGATCGCCCTTTTTATGAAAATAAGTTCGAAATCAACTTGCACCATAGTTCTCTCTAGATTTTTTGAGCTTCATTTCAAGGATTTTTTTTTGTACCTGTTACTTAAACTGAGAATTTTTTTTAACTGTTTAAATACTTTGCTACAGACACACAGAATGAGCTACAGTCCTCTAAAAGCATTATGTTAATGACACAACCTCTTTAACTCTTTAAAGCATTAATCATAAAATAATTGGCAGAAAATTAGCGTGAAAAATGTAGTGTTTATTGAACCTGACAGATAAAAAAATAAATATGAATTTGCATCACAAGTGTTTTGGTGGGAAAAACAAAAATCACATTGATGATATAGAAATCTCAAAAACTTACAAATTCTCATGTATCTAATAATTTACTACTACTTAATCCTACTACTACTTGTACTAATAATAGTCTATGCACATTCTTGCTTTTTCATCACTAACAGTAGCAATAGAAGCAGAAAAACATTATAAAAACATACATGGGTTGCTTCTTCCTTTCTCAGATTGTAACAAACACCGTTGTCTTTGGTTGTCACTGCCTCCAAAAAATGCGTAATTTAAACTGTTAACATGAACCTCGTTTAACAAAGCTCATCCAAGTCTGTGCAGAGTACAGGGTCCTCTTCCAGACTGCAGAGTAAGCAACAACTGAGTTTGTTAACCCCGAGATAAGAGAAAGTGAGCAACTGATGCAACAGGCTAAATTCAACAAATAATATTTGAGCTCACATATCCAGTCACATCATTAGACAGATAACAAGCTACAAGCTAATTTTCATTTAAAGGAGTCATCACCCAGTTCAGAATAAACTGACTTGTTTGTTGTAGCAGTGTGCCGGGACACTGACAAAAAATGATCAGACAAAAGCAGGTTCCGAGGAAATACTATTAAGTATTCACTGTTTCTGTGAAAAGTTAAGTCGTGATTTTTCAGATTAAAAAAACAAAAAACAAATAAATAAATAAATAAATAAATCCAGAATTTCAAGTTTCAAGTTGTTCATCTGTGGGAGTAGTACAATTATTATTATTATTATTATTATTATTATTATTATTATTATTATTATTATTAATTTATTTATTTATTAATTTATTTTTTACAGTTGTGACTCCTGATTTGTATTTTCGGTCTTTTGTGAAGTCATGAACTCCCTCAGTTCTCTATAGGGATTGAACTTTTATAACTCCAGCAGTTTTGCCTATGTTGCACTAACCAGGGAGCAGCAGTATTGGGTCCTGGATTCGTGGGAATTCTGTTTATCTCCCTTACACCAAATCATTCTGGTATCACCAAAAATGAGCTTAGAGGTACGGTGTGTAAAATCTCAGCACTGGCAGTAGAGTGCTGTTAGCCTCTTGTTTTAGGCAGCATTAGAGAAACCTTCTATGACGTGGATCCAACATAACTGCCCTTGGAAACTTAGCAAAGAAACCTTCGTGCTATGAGAGAATGTATTCAAACAATTTATCAGAGGGAAAGTGTGATTTTTTTCAGACACTGGAACCTAGCATTAGCTGGCATCATGTTAGCTTATAAGCAGCTCTTGTTATTAAAACTGTTTATTGTCAGCTGTTAAA